TCTCTGGTAGTTTTTGTAGGTAAGCTCATCTTAAGGTCAGTGATTAAAAGAGGTCCGGAGAGGTGAGTGTCCTCCCAGTTAGCTTACCTTCATTGTCTAATGTGTGTGTGTGTGTGTGTGTGTGGGGGGGGGGGGGGGTAATCTCTTTCCTTTCCCTTTGTCCTTATCCCATAGTTTCTTCTATTAGTAGAGTAATAACCATCAAGCTGTAAGGAATACGATCAGAACACAGGGTTGAAAACAGTGTTAATGAATAACATTTATCCGCACTCTGTATTTCAGTGAGAGCTAGAAAAATGTAAGAATAATTTATTTTAAGAATAATAATGATGATGTTCTAATGAATGTTTATACTGCTTTTATAGTTTATGATGATGTCCACATCGCCGCGAGAAACATTAACTCACACCATAAATATTTTTAATTGCGGGCCCAATTTTTTAATTAATCCATCCTTTCTTCATGTATAGATATACTAGTGGGCAGAGATGTGCCAGTGTTTATTTGGAATGGTGCCGCGTCATCGCAGATTCTTGACTACGGCACAACAGCTGCTCACGTACGTACTTGCATTAATATTATTTTGTAATGTGCAAACCCGCTTCTTGACACATTTAAAAAGCCTTTACTCACAACGTTTAAAATATAATAACATATCCGTTGTCGTTTTTTAAAATTTAAATCCCATGGTCACCATAAAAAGCCTTTGTTCTCTTTCAATTCTACATCTCGTGATTTCATATCAAGACCTGCTAAATGTTCATCTGAATACAGAAGTAGAAATTATTGTTTTTACGTCATATATTTGTTACTCATGTTCATTTTAATGTAAACTACTTTCACCCAGGTTGAAAACTGAATCAGGCTCGTAGATAGCCAATTTGAAGGGGAGAGGGGGTAACCATTCAGAAAAATACACATGGGGGTGGAGTGGGTACCCCTTGCCCCCCNGGGGGATTTTAAGACTGAAACACAAATGCTCCGTTCCCGCCTTGTAAGGTTAAAAAATTGAGTTGATTAATAGACTTTGATTAGACTCAACAGAGGCAATAACGATAACTATTCGGACTAACCCAAAACTTGCTTCAATGAGTCCTACCTGCCCTTTACCATTGTCACAGATTGATTTTTTTTTTTTGCATTAGCTTTTCAAACATATCCCTCCCGGCTAATTCTGTGCACATTTCTGCACTGTACTACTCAGGAAAAAATTTGCACACAATTTTTGCACAGAATTGATGTTATCATTCTTCTGGTCTATAGTAGAGTGTAGGTCCAAAAGGACTGACATATAGCAAATATATTCAACTTTAAGACCCTATTCCCAGAGATTAGATCGATCCAACTAGATCGACCTAACTCCCTAGGGGTTCACGCTAAATAGCTGTCAGCCGAGTGGGCACGAAAGTTAATTACCCCCTTACAGCTTGTAGTAGGCGGGACGGACATTTAAGCCGGTTTATCTGACAGTAATCTAGTGAGACTCCCCACGGGGATAGATCGATCTTAATATTATGGGAATGCGCCCTTAGTAAGACTCAGCACAAACATGGAGCAACATACATGAAGTCGCTGTAAAATGCCTATTTCACAAAAATGGGACGTTTTGGGGCCGCTTTCATAATTTCGATCTGTTCTCAGAACACATACGTGTAGTAATCAAGTATTTGGTAATAAGTGTACACAAACTTTTTTATGCCGGTGATGTGTATACAAACTATTGTATGCCACACAGCGGCGTTTGCATCTGGCCCGCTGAGCACATAGGTTTGTGTACGGAGGGAGGGGTTGGGTCATTCCAATAGCTGCTGTCACGCACATTTTAAGGTTGATACTTTTAGTACTTGTACTGGCTAGCTTCTACATTGTTTCAAAAGAAATTAATCATTATCATGAAATAGCCCCTCTTCTGTAATCAACGCTGTACAATTGCTATTGTGAAAGGCCAAAGCGTATTTTTAACCGGAATAAGCGGCAACACGACGTAAGAGTTCGTACTGTGGAGATTCGATTATGTGTACAGGTTTTGACAACTCTTTTGGAAATCCTTTAGCTGTAAAGATCGGTCCTATATTTTCATAACGTAGTTGCTACTTTGAGAACCTCATATAGTAAAGGAGATGAGGGCTGCTGAACAGAACAAAAGCTACGGAATAAATTCCTCGGATATCCCCAGTAACACGCTGAAATAATACCAGCTCCTGCTTTTATCGACATCTCAATCGAATCCTATCCCCAAATATATGATCAATAGGTAACCTGCGTTTAAACAGGCATGCCTAATATACGTTCAGCTGACAATAAATACGTTTGCACGTGTATTCAGGTGAACAGGCACAGTTGCGTCTTGCACCCTGAGTGTAAGGCTTAAAACACTACCTGATCAAGCACTGTGAGCATCACCGAATATAGATAAACCAGTGAAACCATGGGTGCTTTTTTCTTCTTCGTGTAAAATATAACAGTGCGGCTCTGAAAACACCATTTATTTGGCACAGCAACCAGGAGACGGACGACCGTTGCGGCAAAATGCTGTCAGGGAACAGGCTGCTTCACGGGTTAGAATCTCCAATTCTTCCCTTTAGAAATAACGCAGGTTAGGTAGATTCTAATTTTGATCTTTCTCAAATTTGCGTATGGCTATGGGAATTTTTAATTTTCGCATATTTTTATTTAAGTAACAAAACGTTTAACTTAACAATAAATTCTTATTTTAACTTTCTTACATGATTGCAGTCCATATCAGAGTATAATATATATTTATGTACGTAAATGTGCTACATTGAACAGGTCAGACAATATTTATATTCTGTAAAAAAAAAAAAAACATCAATAAATAAGTGAAAAAAGTGAGCAGATAGGCTGGTATGTGATGACCGAACACATATATTAACCTATTACGACTATTATAGTTGAGTTCTGTGATATAGGTTTTAAGTGACAGACCAGTAATCTTTTTCTTTTTCGAGATTTTACATACGTTTTTTTTATCAGTGTGTTCAAAACAATTCAATCAAGGGGGCTTAAACGGTATTCTTTTTATTTCTTTTTCAAAATCTTACAGTAAACGAATTGACCTAGATTTTCAACAATTTTTAAATTACCAACAGGCTACTCATTTTTTTAAAAACTTTCTCTTCACGTGTCTTGGAAAGTTATATGCAATCCTCGCCTTTCTTCTTCGGCAAGTGATTTTTTAGTGGGGATTGTAATTTCAAAAGAGCGCATTTTCAAAACTCAACTTCCACAAAATGAACACCGATTTGTACATAATCATATGTAAACCGATAGTTGGATATTTTTTTGAAGGACACTCACTGTAGAAACCACTGTGAATTTGCCATTGCCCCCGTTCTCCTTTAAACCAAGCGCTTCCCCTTCGACAAGTTTTGCGTAGTTACCGATGTCTTACAAATTGGTAAATACTGCATTTCATTTTTCCAGCCCACTGCTTTGCGGTGCGACGTTGCTTGATGAAAGGAGTAGAATTTATTATAGTAATCGTCGTTGGACTTTTGGCAGGAATATCTCTGGTAGTTTTTGTGGGTAAGGTCATCTTGAGGTCAGTGATTAAAAGAGGTCCGGAGAGGCGAGTGTCCTCCCCGTTAGCTTACCTTCATTGTCTTATGTGTGTGTGTGTGGGGGGGGGGGGGGGGGTAATCTCTTTCCTTTCCCTTTGTCCTTATCAGGGGCGGATCCAGAGTTATTTTCTGACAGGCTTCCAAATAATCTTCATTGATCAACCCTCAATTTTGACCGTCTTCCGACAAAAAAAATTAGATACCCGTCAATGTAAACTTGAAAATCTGACCGTCTTCCGGAAGGTCCAGAAGACGGCCTAAATCCGCCCCTGCTTATCCCATAGTTTCTTCTATTAGTAGAGTAATAAACATCAAGCTGTGGGGAATACGATCAGAACACAGGGTTGAAAACAGTGTTAATGAATAACATTTATCCGCACTCTGTATTTCAGTGAGAGCTAGAAAAATGTAAGAATAATTTATTTTAAGAATAATAATGATGATGTTCTAATGAATGTTTATACTGCTTTTATAGTTTATGATGATGTCCACATCGCCGCGAGAAACATTAACTCACACCTTAAATATTTTTAATTACGGGCCTAAGTCTTTAATTAATCCATCCTTTCTTCATGTGTAGATATACTGGTGGGCAGAGATGTGCCAGTGTTTATTTGGAATGGTGCCGCGTCATCGCAGATTCTTGACTACGGCACAACAGCTGCTCACGTACGTACTTGCATTATTATTTTGTAATGTGCAAACCTGCTTCTTGACACATTTAAAAAGCCTTGACTCACAACGTTTAATATAATAACGTATCCGTTGTCGTTTTTTTAAAATATAAATCCCATGGTCACCATAAAAAGCCGTTGTTCTCTTTCAATTCTACATCTATTGATTTCATATCAAGACCTGCTAAATGTTAATCTGAATACAGAAGTAGAAATTATTGTTTTTACGTCATATATTCGTTACTCATGTTCATTTTAATGTAAACTACTTTCACCCAGGTTGAAAACTGAATCAGGCGCGTAGATAGCCAATTTGAAGGGGAGAGGGGGTAACCATTCAGAAAAAATACACATGGGGGTGGAGTGGGTAGGCCCTACCCCTTG